ATATAATATATTATAGACAGCCTCCCATTGTTGAGGAGGAAAGACAATTGGCCCTCTCACTCAGTGTCGTTATTATATATTGAAGTGGAAAACGCATTATGGAAGTAGAAAATGACCGTTTGTACAGGTGATTGTCATATATACATGTGGTCGTTTGTACAGGTGATTGTCTTATACAGGTGGTCGTTTGTACAGGTGATTGTCTTATACAGGTGACCGTTTGTACAGGTGATTGTCTTATACAGGTTGTCGTTTGTACAGGTGATTGTCTTATACATGTGGTCGTTTGTACAGGTGATTGTCTTATACAGGTGGCCGTTTGTACAGGTGATTGTCTTATACATGTGGCCGTTTGTACATGTGATTGTCTTATACAGGTGACCGTTTGTACAGGTGATTGTCTTATACAGGTTGTCGTTTGTACAGGTGATTGTCTTATACATGTGGTCGTTTGTACAGGTGATTGTCTTATACAGGTGGCCGTTTGTACAGGTGATTGTCTTATACAGGTGGTCGTTTGTACAGGTGATTGTCTTATACAGGTGGCCGTTTGTACAGGTGATTGTCTTATACAGGTGACCGTTTGTACAGGCGATTGTCTTATACAGGTGGCCGTTTGTACAGGTGATTGTCGTATACATCTGGTCGTTTGTACAGGTGATTGTCTTATACAGGTGGCCGTTACAGCAGTTCCTGCTATATGTTACGACATGCTAGAGGTCAGCTGTTTAGATGTGTTGTGCCTTAAGTCCTGGCTACTTTTCTTTTTCAATTGCGAACTTGTCCTAATCAGTGGTGTTAGTTAGGTCTAGTTGAACATACGTGTACATTCATGTGACATTCTGCTCGAAATTCGAATGCTTAACGTTAAAAAGAAGCCAGAAAAGATTCGTAACATAAAAAACGAACTTGTGTATTGCGCGCTCATATGACTTTATGCAGTTGCGTGCGCCGTAAAACCCCATACTAAACTAAACTAAGATCTAGTACAGTTTGCTCATTTATAAAAATTGAAACAGTGTTTTCTCCTTCTCTTGCAAAACTTTGCTTTGCGGGTGATGAGATGGCGTCTCTAAATGAACCTGCCACAAACGAGAGTCAGTGGCATTGACTTGTCGGTCATACGTGGGGGCGGCTGGCGGCCATTTTGGACAGTGTCGTTTCGTGGGTTAGTCACGTCATCGGGATTACTCGTTTTTTTTTCCTGTTTTGTTTTGATTTCATGTTTTTTATTTTGTTTTTAAAAAAAGAAAAAGGAAAGATTTAAGAAAGAAAGATCATGTTTGATAGGAAAGATAAAAAAGGAGCTAAGCTCACCAGAGCACCCGCCAACCACCCACAAACTAAGGTATCAGTTTGTTTCCCTTACCCAGGAGTTGGAACCTTACCAGGGGTCATCAACCTCGGGGCTGGGAGCCATATCACGACGTCACTGAGCTCACATCTATGAAGAACAAACTGCAAAAAGCAGAAAACAGAGGTCTGGAGCATAATAATTTCCTACTACATCAAGATGATGAGAAATTGATTCTTTGTTACTTGTATTGGGAGTGTTTTTGGAGTGCCACAGGAAAAGCCAGTTGTCCAAGTGGAAGTTCCGACAGAAGGGATTGAGGAACCTGTGATTTGTCCAGGGGTGGGGGGAGGGGGGGTGTGAGTTGGGATATATACAGGCTATGGTCGGGATAACTACCGTACAGAGTTTAGGGACATGATTCCGATTAGACAAAATTGATTACATGTATGAATTGTAAATCAAGTAAAATGATAAAACACAAAATATATAACACAAAAGGTTCATTTAGCCTTAGATAACTAGTTAAAACCTCTTTAAAACTATTGGCAAGGCATTACATCTTCTAGAGTTGTAATATAATTCAATTATATTATCTTCTTATATATATACATTGTATTATAATTGTGAACGTTCGTCACTTTGGTCGCCTCAAACTTGGGAACCACCGAACTTTCCAATTGGACCAAATTAATGGTGGTTCAGAATCATTGAAAGGGTGCACAGGTCTAATGAGGAGCCTGAAGTCACTGTAGTTTAATTTACAGTTTGTCTTTTGTTTCGTTTATATCTAATTCTAATCTTGGGAAAGTCCGTCTTCTAAGACGCCATTGTAAACAAATGCAGTTTCCGTTCACTAGTCGTGTACACTGATCCTACACCTTTGACATTCTGGAGTGAACAACCACGACAGCGGAATAGAGAATCCATCTATACATCTATTTTATATTTGGCAACTTGGAAACACGTGTGTCACTTTTCTCTCAAGATTTAGTGCTCTATTCCAGTAGAGTGTAAATGTAGTAGGCCAATGACTTTCAGTTGATATTAATACACCGGTCATTCCTTTCATCGGACGAGGGACCCAGCCAGTACTTTCATAAGTGCCGTAATCGTACCAAGTGTACGCTGTATTAAATCATAAAACGAAAATGTTTGATGGACAGATCTGAGAAAGCTATGTCAGTATTGTCAGTAGTTAAAACTGACTTTGTGCTGTTGAATCTAGAGAGGTGAGCAGAGTAAGTCTGATTTCTCGTTTGGACTTATCATACCTGTTGACATCCACCCCTTGGCGCTCATATGACCTTATGAAGTTGCGAGCGCCGTAAAACCTCTACTAAAACAAACAAAGTAAACCATCTGCAGTGTGCCGTCCTCCTTCGTTCTTGTTTCTTACTGTCTTCTGACATTCCAATCTTCGATACGTATACGACCTAATTGTGTTGCAAGTGCCTTAAAACTCTCACTAAAACTAAAAGTACCCCGATTATTTTACACCTTATTCCCAAACTATGATCAGTCTGCTGTGGTTTGCTTCTTCTGTACTATCAAAC